GTTGATCGGATAGTTGCCAGGTGAAGCTGCGGTTCGACCGTTGATTTCGACCCACCCTTCGTGTCTGTCGTCGGCTGATTGCCTACGGGTTCGACGACGTCAAACGACGGGGTCAGATGTTAAGTGTAATCGAATTCGACTTTGAACAATAGATCGGCTCGGCCGAGCCTTCGCCCGCCTGCTCGTTCAAGGGGCGAAAAGTACCAAGGCAGTAGCAGTGTCAGCAGCGACGGCGCCTGCCGTGTCTTAGCTTGTTGCTCAGCTCAATCCAGCTTGGTGACCGCTATGCGAGACCGCCGATGAAGTAGCGATTAATGAATTCCTCGTGTAGTCTACCTAGCTTTGTTCAATCATTTCAGGAAAAGGCCAGGCCATAGCAAAGATGCACACAGCCAGGAAAACAACGAATACGACAGGAAGTGAAGTCGTTCGAAATTTGAAGGAGAGCTCATAATGCAGCAGCAGAAGGATACCCCAAAACTTTCTCGTGCATCTTTTAACAACTGACGTTGGTGCCGATGTTTCATCGGGTCAGCTCAACAGTCGTTTTTGTTATTGTTGTTGTTGTTGCTGCTGCTGTTGCTAAACGAGTGCGAGGCTACGGCGGAAAATCGTTCCTTGTAGCTCGCCCATACGTGCCTGAAAGGCTGAAGCAGATTAATGATAGATTGAATTTTGAGCTTAAATTAGATTCTAGGGCACTAGAGATAGAGTAGCATATCGTTTTGAGTTAATAGCCGATCAGAAATTATCTCGATGTGTTTGACTGCTTATCGCGTGGACATTTTTTCTTTGAATTACCTATGTAAACCCTAGCTAGCATTGCTAGGGTTTACATAGGTAATTCACGCTAATCGATCTTGCCTGTTTTCGTGAAGAAAAAAAAGGAGCGCAATATAGTTAAAGCTACCATAGTGACCATCGCAAGATTTCAACGTGCTCAGAGCATATGCATCGCCGCAGAATAAGGCTAGAGGTGATAAAGTTCATTCTTTTGGTACAGAGCGATAACACAAAAAAACGCATTTACGACCCATCGCGTTCGATTTATGCTGCGACTGAATTAAGTTGCACGTACAACTGAGCATTTGTGTTTGCATATGCCGTAAACGTATCATCAGGTTGATGTAGAAGCAGGAACACAGAAGCTACCCATAGACAACTCGTCTACAAAAAAAAAAAAATAGAACGAACTTTCACCTGTATTTTATGAGCGGGCAAAATCTCCCGCTGAAAACTGTCAAGCCAAAAAATACGAACGCCGTTTTCATGAGTTAGCTGCCGCTAAGGCGTAAGAACAACGTATTTCGACATTGGCATCGTTTCCAGAACTACTCGAGACTACACGTGTCTCGATATAATAACAGAAATATATTCACGGAGTTTGGCCTATTATGAGGCCGGCCGCTGCCTTTTTCAGTCATCAAACTGTAACGAACGCCGCCTGTCGGATGCCTCATTGTTAAGGGAAGATTACAATTTTTTTCAAATATAGCTCTACAGGTGTTTATATAAAGGGTATCGATAGCCGTTTTCACTACGAGTTCCAAAGAATATAAGTCTGCTGCTGTTTATACGGCCACTGGGCGGCCTTTGACCTAGACGATTTTGTTAACACCCTGTATTTTACACACGATTAGTTTTACGATGATCTAATGAGAGTTTAACTATAAAAACCTTATTATAAATAATGAGCAAAAAAACTATATATATCCGACATAGACCTCTTGCAAGGGCGCGTGTAAATTTCCTAATATATTTGACCTCTTAAACAAGGGTCAAGGCATACGCTAGCCAAACAACGTATTACTCACTACTATTGACAGCTCATCTAAATGAGATGATCATCGTCGTTGATTTCAAATAGCATGGCAACACATCCTGTGTACAAACTTAGCTAAAGGTCTTCAAAAGTGTTAGAAACCCTACGTGGTTATGTTTCCAACGAAAAACATCTGCGATAGAATAAGCTATGATCTTCCCAAACTTGTAGCATTAGTAAGCATTGATAATAAAATAACTAGACATGGAGTATGACTTACAAGATGAATCCATGCTATTTGGATCATATTCGTGTATGGAGACTGATTCCCCGTTCGTTGCGAAAATCATTTTTCCCTGTGTTGCTGTTGTTGCCGTCTGCAAAATCTCCAATAGCCTCACTGCTTTCAAGTGTATCTGTCCCTTCCTGTCAGGAAGGGTTACGCGCACTTATTATCTTCGCGTTGTTATCTTCCGTCACGATTCAGTCCCTGTCGATAGTTGCTGCCAATTCCAACGGGAACACGCTTAACGTAGAGATCAGCTGCCCTTCTTTCAAGCGGCATTCAGGCAAACTGGAGTAACCTGCACGCCGTCCGCCCTCAAGCATTTGAAGGGCAGAGACTATTTATTGACATCGGCACTTGGTCAATATTCTAACATGTAAGTGAAGTTTTCCTTAGAAATCGCAGGGATGCGCTTTCCGTTGCTAGGGGTTCAGATACACTTTAGTCGTTCAGTGGTCCTGATTCTGTGCTCCAGTTACGCTCGACAGTCTGCATGTTCCTAGGGTTTTTCTGAAGCGGCCACTTTTTGCATGGGCTGTTAGCAGTCAGGCGAGAACGCAGGATCAGACTGCGTCGGCGACGATCACTAATTGCACACAATTCTTAATTTGCAGGGGCTGATCTAAGTGATTCAATGAGTTCGTCGAACTCTCACTCCAGCTAAGGAACAGAAACGTTACTGCGGCGTAACAAAAACCCTCGATCAGGTGTCTCTCAGCGTCCACTGGGGGGTGTCCGTATTTCTTCTTCGTTCAGTACAATCATACAGCCAGTGTAGTAGTGGTATCTGTGACGATCACAGTCGTTGACGTCTGCAGTAGGGGGTGAGCACCCCGTGTCGACCCTCCGCGCTTGATTCGACTGGCGATCGAGCTCGTCCTGACTTGAGTCCTAGCAGATTTGGACTTTCGAATGGCTAAGCATAGCACGGACGACGACTGCTCCTCCTCCTTTTCCAGCTCTCCGTTCAGATCGTCGCGCCAACGCCGCTGTCGTGTTCGCGGCGATTATTAAACTCGAATTTCCTTCTCCCCTGTCTCTCACTCCGCAGCCGATGTGCTGTTGTGTGCCATCGCATTAGATGTGCGTGAGTGTAGCTGTGCGACTAATACGGCTACTGCTACCGCCGCCGCGGCCGCCGCTGCTGCTGCTACTAGTAGCGGTATTAAGCGCGGCAGAGCAGGCCGTCCGATCTATTCGAGGAGCGAAACGCCAGTCAACAGCCCGCTCTTGATTTTGGCTGTTTGATTGCAGCTGAGATCGTCATACGCGGTAAGACCTGACCGAAGCTGCACAGTAGGCGAACGAGTGAGTGTCAATGAATGGGCGGGAAGAGCTACTGGGGTGAGAGGGGGACCAAGCTGAACAAGTTTTACCTCGAAGGCGAAAAGAATGAACGAAAGAATAGGAGTTCACTGAGGGGGAGAGGTCTGTGGTGGGCTGGCTGCGGATGAAATGCAGCGAGTCGTCGTCTTCTTCTTTTTCGTCTTTCCTAAAGGACGGTGGGGCTCAACCATCAGAGGATCACAATAGATGCATAGGACGGATCTCTTCCCACCACCGTGGTGTGGTGTCTAAGGCTGTGAGCATTATTATCAAGCCCATCGATGCATTCGGTAAGCGTGCGTCGATAGAAGAAGCAGCAGCAGCAGCAGTAGCTAATAACACCATGAATAACAGTTACCGAAACGAATCACAGTTCGCTACTAGCTGTTCGGTTTGAAGGTGAACGAAGCGCGCGCCTCTATTCGAGGCCAGAATAAAAAAGTGCCATTGAGGATAACTTCGCAAGATGGCCGTAAACCAATGGCTTTCGTAAACCCAGGGAGAAGCACCCAGTTTGAATGCTCTCCACCAAGTTTACGAAGCGGTGCCACCTACAGGAAACCGCTAGTGACAACTGAATCTACGGAGTCCACTAGAGCCTATTTCTGCTCGCAGCTTTGGTTCATAATGAGGTCTCGAGAGAGGGGCAAGCCAGCAAGTTAGCCATCCCACCGACCGACGACTTGGGCCCCCCTCACTCCATAAAGCGATAAAGGAGGAGGGCCATGAAGAGAGGGAACGACCAATCGGCACTAAGCAGCCAACAAGGCGCACCCCACACATGCACACACCGAGAGACGCGCGCTCAGACACTAATACACTGCAGGAGTGCGCACGCCAATATGCGTACAGCACAAAACGAACTAAGTAAGCCAGCAGACGCAGAGCAAGAGAGGGCGGATAGCAATGCCGGCGAATGTAGGTATTCGACTCTTGCTGAAGTCCCGAGGTCAGAGAACGACCGTGCACACGTTCTAAAGCTTCGAACAAGCTTTGCACCGGACGGCAAAATACTGCTGGCCTTCGAACGAATTGTAAATAAATGCAAAAAATCATTTTACGCCATAAGTATAGTTTTAATTAGAGACAAAAGCACTAGTTGTGTCGAAGCGATCGGTTAAGGACTGACAAAATTACATTAGGCCTTTTGTGGCGGCAATGAGTAAGTGCTTGTTTTTGCTCAGTAATTGCATGTGGCAAAGCAACAATGAGTAATGTGCATTGTGACACTGTCTACGAAATAGTTCATGCTATGGCTAGTACGGTATGTCATGGTACGACTGATATTTTTTTAAGACTGATGGGTAGATTTTCTGACAAAGAGAGCTTTTCGTTCTGCCTACTGCCACATCGCATATAATACTTAAGCGTTATTTATCGTGCCATAGCGTCCAGTATGGCCACAATTTAAGCTAACGTCAAAATTTAGCGTAGTATATACCGCACACCTGTGAGCCACTACAAGCTGATGAGCGGAAAATTTGGCCTATCGGCTTTTTGGCTGCTAGCAAGTGGGAAAAAAAAACATAATTTTAATGCTTGTTATTGTGGCCGTCATGTACTAACAGCGTACCATATATGCGTAGAATGATCGATTTTAGGTCAGCCCCATTGCAGGATACTTACGTTTTTCTATGGTCGAATCACATTTAGCCAGAAGGGTCTGACCGTTTGCGTTCTTCACCCATGGCCACCGAAATGTCTGCAAACAAAAATAAAATACATGTATATTTAGGTTGTCTTTTTTATACACCGTACTTATAAATTAATGTAACTATCCAGTTATATTTCTAAATCGATTACACCGCTTTACTGCTGTTCCTTTTCTGTCAAAAGTCGTAACAGGAACACATGACTGGACAGCGAACATGACTGGAACTGTCTCTCCGCCCATCTCCAGGTATGTACTTCGTCATTTGTTTACTTCAGCTTTTTTCAGTCGAATTGATTAGTGGTGATTTTTTTTTTTGAAAAAGAAAAGCTTTTTCTAAGCAGAAGTTAAATGGATGGCAGCAATTAGATTTGTACTTCAACGCAGTTTCTTCATTATAATAAAACGTCAGTCGCGTCTGGTACATAAATAAACGTAAATTCTTCAGCGGGACGTATCTACATATCGATGCAGAAAGCACTAGAGTTCTAAGACGGAAGTTTTGTTCGATTTTTCAACAGTGACCCTACCCGATTCTTGGATCAGCACTAAGTAACTAAGCAGTGTTGGGACTATTGTTTTCCATTGCTAAAAAAGGAAACAGACTCAAAAGCTAGCTTTCGTTAGAACCAGTAACGAAAATTGCGCTTTTATAATAGAGAAATTATTTTCTTTATATATAGCGAGAGATTGAATGATGTTACAGCAGGCTAACGATACAGCGTTAAGGGCAAGATGTGTAAAACAAGTAACATCAGCCTAGAAGGACTTATCTGTTTAGAGTAAGCCTGGTCGACCCATTGTTTTCAACAGAGTAAAAATAATATAGAAACTTCACACCGCTCGTAAGCGGACCCGATCGTATGTAGAAGAAGGTAACTTTTTTATCCGTGACGCCACTAATTGAAAATTCAGAAAATGACTGATAAATGGCTCCAAAAAGCTTCGGGATGTCGTACGTTGATAGTTTAGTCGAATCGATATTATTGTATCTGAATTCCTTAAAGAGCAATAGATACCTGTTCTGAGGTCGAGCTAATGTCGGGCGTAGGTTACAACCGATAATCTGTCAGGCCAAACAGAGCGGTCTGATAGAAGATTATCCGTCGACCGCTAAGAACAATTCGTTCCAATTTTAATCGGCGTCACCACCCGTCGCTTGGAAGTCAGATTCATCAGGTTTACATTGTAGTCGCGTGCAATCGTCTGGATGCTTCTAATTGTACCTGAATATTCTGCAGACGCCGTTCCCTCCCCTATAAAGGCGCCTTATAGACCTGAATCTAGTGCTTTAGCTTGTGTTCAACTCAAGTGACCATGAAGTGAGTGGCCGCGCATCTCTTGTTGGTCCAAACGAAACCACGGAAGGGTGAGAAGTCGAACTGAGACGGATTAATCTAAATGGCAACCTATGTACTTCGCGGCCTGCGGAGCCACGGACTGGAGGACTGGCTTCAACGCCATTCCCCACCACATGGGGCAGACGCGCAAAATCGAAGATTGCAGTCGAGACCGTGAAGCCCTCTGGCGCCTTTAGCACACGTAGGCATTAATATGTGTATACGTCTATCGATGTCCGAGATTATATCTCAACATCTATTTGTGCGTCTACATGTAGCATTTCGCCTTTCAACTGCTCATGAAATGAGTAGATATGATGGTCCGTACGGTAGGATTAGCTGGCTGGCTCCAAACCTGCAGCGGATGAACATATGGCACTGAATTTGCATGGTTTTATTCTTATTGCTATCATCGCCAGCTCTCTTATTGTCCAATAGGGGATATTTGTCATGTGACTGGGAGCATGATCCGCCTAAGTAGCGTTGCTTAATACGAATAGATGGCTGTAAACGTTGATTGAAATTGTTCATTTAGTCATAGAAGTCGAACGGTTCACCGGACTACTTCATAGAGCTGCCATGGTAGACGGATAAGGGCAAGATCGCTCACTAACCTAACACTGATTACAGATGTACACATCACAGAGAATCTCGCGAAGACATGTTGCCATAGACACAGCAAGACGCTTGAGTTCAATGTCTATCTCATTTATTTACTAGCTATATGTTTATCTACTTGTTGCTTTATTCGACAGCTCAATCGTGCTTTGATGGTTACCAGTCAGAAGTTTTCTGGAAGTTTCTGGAAACGCGTCTTTTTTTACAGGCAATAATGATATTTTTCCCATGTAATACATATAACATCATGACCGTTACTATGACAGTAAAACTTTAGCTGGAGACGTTGTACAATAACCGTCGAGCGTTGCAAATCTAATTCTTGCTGCAGCCATATTTACACTGCTTTCAAGCTATAACGAGTTTCCCGGTCATATTACCCCCGTTCGCTCGTAGGTTACCTGAAGATCACATCTATTACAGAGGCAACTGTTTTCGAAGACAATCTCTTGCTGACGCGTGTACGAGACCACCGGTTAGAGCCGCTGGCTAAATAGCGTCCTTTCATATTGCACTAAGTCATAGGTCACAATATTCGCCTATCTCTGGCGTAGCGCTTCTGATAACCAATAACGATTCTGTCGTGGACGGAGATCAGTTTCTTAGGTTAAGGTGACGGACAGATTCGTCTGCTAATTGTCGATATGCTACTTGCATCTTAAACTAAATGTATCGCGCTGTTCCATCTTCAGGTTTCATCCATTTGACCTTCGCTCCAGCACTAACTCTATGCCACACATGTCGGAAGGGGAGAGAGAGAGAGAGAGAGAGAGAGAGCGAATGGTCGGAAGGGAGGGGGTAGATAATTTTGATGCCCTGATTGCAACGCGCGCCGGGTGGATTGCGGCGGCGGCGGCAATCGATGCCAAAACACCCATAGGCCGCACTCAGACTTATTAACTTGAACGGAGTCGCATATGTCTACGTCCCATGTTAGGCTGACGGTGGGCACTATCGTCCTCTTCCTCGTGCATCTTGCTGTACGTGCATGTTACAACAATATGCATATAGTAAAGTGGTGACAACGGGTCTCATTCACGTAGTCCGGTCTGTCCGCTCGACCTTTTGCATTTAACAGTGTAGCAATAATATCGCTGGGACATCGTTAGTTGTTTTCTAATGTAACCACTTCTTTTAGGAGTAACTTGGTTTATACGATCGCTTCTGCCGCTGTAAGGAGTAAGATCTCCTAGGAACTTCCCTGACGGTCAGTGTTGGCGTGTTTTAAGTACAAAATAAGTAGGCAACGGTGACGACTACTATCACGGAAGTAACTTCTACAGAGTTAAAAGGTTCTTTACGGGATTGCGATTTCGTCAACTATAGTATAACAATAGCTAAAATGTCGGACGTAGCAGTATTATGGTATTAGTGAAAAAGTAGGACGTGAAACTCGAAGCACAAAGTATAAGAACGTTACATGGCTACGTATACAATATGTAGTTCTTAGTAAACTCAGTAAAAGGATACCCATACAGCTGAGCGGCTGCCAAGTTTTGGCTGAATGGGCGACTACGTAGGCCTGACAAGTGGATGGTAAACAATACTCAAGACCTGTTCAAACATAGAACGTTAGAGTGCAGGATCGACGTCACCGCTGCAGACACATTTGCTTAGACTAAGTAACGAAGCTTGACGTGCTGTAAGATAGGAGGCCTTGTTAAATACTGTGTATCGGAGTCCCAGAACTGAGTCACGGTCTTTGTACATGCTGAGCTTGATCTGCTAGTATGATCAGACCTTAAAGGATGCACTTGTTGGTGCATTTAGCTATTGCTCGATTGAAAGAATATGTCTGCACCCCATTTTTTCGTACCACAATCATTCTTCATATACTTACGTACATTGAAATTCCTCTTATGACGGTCAGGCCGCATGTCATTGAGTCACATTGATTTTCACACGAACATTTTGACCAGAGGAAGCAGGCCGTATTCGAGAGTTCTTCGTGATAGCAAGAAGGTGCTTACTTCTTCAGTAGGTGATTCTAATCAAAACAATAAAATGAGCTCGGAAAAGGAACTGGATATTCTACTTACTTCATTAGACGCTGATAACTTAGCTTCGATCTCCATAGAAACCTTTCGGGCCGGTTCGAGTCACGAATTACACAATTGTGTAAACTAGGCACGCTTAAAATGTTTGTTGTTCCAGCACTGTATCACACAATTAGTCCACATTTTCTGAATGTTAGAAAATGTATCGTAACGGAAATTTTTTTTTAGTTTTTTTTGTCACTTTTGGCAAATGCGGATGACACCTTGAGGGTTGCTATTGACGGCGTGTGTTATGATTTACGCTGATGGTATGACCATAGGCCCTAACTGGAGTTGTCACGGACTGTATCGTTCTGCTCGAGTTGCAATTGGCATAAAGTTTCCATTGTTCCATGAAACTAATTAGTAGGCTTCTTGATAAAGCAAGCGCGCGTACCGTGGACGCACTATGGCTGGCAGTTTCGATGTACGATACCACATAACACGAACGGTAACGGCCAAAAATAAACTACCTTTTTAGCCGAGTCGAACAAAGATCATTTGTTGATACTTGCCTAGATGTCGGTCTATTTGTACGTCTAAAAAATTTAGGTTTCTGTCTGAGCAAACCCGTTATCTTCTGCACACACTGGACGCAAAACGTCGAGTTGTTTACAATGTAACATAGGATGAATATAGCAGATATAAAAGTACTTTTGTCAAATCCTGATCATATCATTCGTAGCCAGTACATCACATACATCTACGCTGCTTATCTAAACAGCACGATTAGCAGTTATGTGGTTGCAACTAGATGGGCTTCTGGCTCATTGGGGCTAACTGGGATCACCCAAAAGACCCGAAGAGGAGTTGAGTGTTACCGCCGGTATCGTTCGACAAGGCTGCGTTCCCTATCGACTGCGCGCAGGTTTGCTGTTGCTCAGCTGCCTAGAGCCGCTCACTCGAGGATGATTCAAGTTGGGCTAGACTCCTCTCATTCTAACTCACTCCTGTGTTCTGCCTTGCGACTCCCAGCAGCTAGAGACTCCAACTCGACCCGACGCAACTCGATTCTCGCTGTTCGCTAGCTACTAGCTGCATGGGGTGGGGAATTCACTCGAGGGAGCGAACAGACAAGAGCCAAGCGGCGGTTCGCCGCGAGGTCACGTGGTCGGGGCACCGCCCCCTAGGAGTCGCCGCCTCTTATTGGTCGGCTGGTCCACTATTCCACCGGCTTTTCCTCCCAATCTTCCCGTTGCCCCTTAACGCCAGAGGCTCGTTCTCCTGCTCTTCCCCCTATAGCAATGGTGACAACGACGATCTTCCCAGCATCACCCCCAACCGGCATCCCAGTGCAAGTCGTTCTCCCCTGCTCGCCTCAATAGTTTATCCACCAGCAGTCACGACGACCATGATCCAGCCCCGATGGTTGGGGTCTGGCCCCCACAGCCTCGGCCAAGAAAATAGAAGGCCTAACGGAATGCAAATGTTGTCTATGGGTCACGCGGTGGCTCACTAACAGCGAACGAAGCTACCGCCGGTGGCGGACGAACCCGCGAATCGGCAGGGGTTGTCAGCCGGGAAAGGTGACTGGAAGGGCGGCTAGCCAGAGCTGGGTGAGGGTGGCTGGATGGTGGGTGGGTAAGTTGGTCGGTCAGAGGGGTGCTGAGCTCGCTCACTCGCTCAATCGGTCGGTCGAATCTGCAGTCGGTGGCGGTCTGACTCCGCGGGAAAGAGGCGAGTCGGTCACAATGGAGGCAAAGGCGCCGAAAGCAGAGGTCGCCACTGCGGGGCCGCCTAAGCACTTTCACCGGTTGCCGATTCGACCGACAGACTGAGCGAGCGATCGACGACATCGCGCCTGACCCCCATCGTCCTGGCTCCATGCCCCCCTCCCGGAACAACTCACCGATGGTACTAATACTGGCGAGGGAAGAAACAATGGGGGCAGGCGAGTACAAGACAGGACACGCGGGCGGGCAGGCAGCATTCAGCCGGCCGCCCACATGATAACGACAAAAGTGATGCGCTCAGTTGTCTGTTAAGCACAGGGTTAGTTGACGGTCCTGGCGCCGGTTCCGCCGCCGCCATTGCCAGCGGCGACTCACTAGGAGCCAGTCGCCAGTAAGCAGCAGGAGTTAGCCATAGAGCAGGGGAAAGGGAAGCAGAGCCGAACTAGGAGTTGAGTCAAGCCAATCCCTTCGCAGCCTAGGGTAACGCTTCTTCTAGTGTTGCACCAGTTCTGTGAACGTCGGCAAATAGGGAAAAGTTGCCACAGGTTCCTGGCACGGGTCGACTGACCGCCATCAAGGAGCAACAGCGTCGGAGGCGACAATGAAGAAGGACGATCCCGTCCTGCGCGCCAGAGAACATAGCTAAAAATGCAACAAAAGGACAAATGAAAATATTTGTTGCTGCTGCTGCTGCTGCTGCTTTTGTTGAGGGCCGTTTAAAACAGGTGGCCATAGCAAACGAACTGCAATGTAAAAAGAAATATGAGTGAATTACATTGAGACCTCTATGGCTCAGAGAAAAAGGCCGGATGCGCATGAGTATATATAAGTTTTGGATTGATTGGCATCAAACAAAATAAGTAGGAGCTGATTATGAATAAAGACATAGTCGTACGTTTGTGTACGCCAATAATCAATAACTGAACTTTGAAGTTTTTCCGTTTACAGATCAAATTAAACCTCCTCTACGCAATAAAGTTCCCTCTAGCTATTTACAAGCGTCGCTTTATTTCGATTGAATCTAGACAGAGAGAAAGCAAAATTGATTACAAAATCTCTTTGCAATAAGTACAATATGAACTACAGGAAGATAGAATATATACACGTTTCTTTATAGCGAAATCATAAGGCTTCAGAACTTCTCTGGTGGCCTGAAACGCTACAAAAACCTATGCTCTTATTAGATAATAGCGTTGCTAGTTACTTTTAAATAGGGTATCTACGTTTTAGAGCTGTATCGGCGCGCCCTTAGTAAGGGTTGGAAAACATAGGATCCGGTGCTCGCTTATTTTGCCTCTAATAATTATATGTACAAGTTTACATAATGTGTCAAAAGTAAATTAACTTGTTTAATAATTCTGGAGTGCGCCTATACCGCTTAATTGCCTACGGCACTTCCTGCAAAACAAACTTTGCAATTTTGCAAATTAAATAAAATATTTCTTAAAAAGATCAACGTTTGAAGTTTGAAGTGTGGCTCTTTTTAGGCGAAAGTACTTTCGTTCAAACTGGTTACTTAACAGCGATTTCCTTTTAAACATTCTCCTACACGATTCCTCTTAAACAAAGCGGACGATTTTAACTTATTATCGCTATGCCTGATGCCAGCTTCTTTATATGAGTTTTCAGTGCATTAACGGTGTAATACGCTTTTTCGCGTAATGTTGGGACTGACATTTGTTTCTGCTAAAGCCTGCAGGCTTATGATGAAACTGACAGAGTGAACTAACAACTATTGTAATTCCACCTGTTTTTTTTTTCCATGAAGCTTCAAATATATCGCAAAATAGAAAAGAGTGCTTCACTGATTGGCCAATTCTTTCCCAACTCAAATCTTCTTTCGCGCAGACTGTTTGTGATCGTTCGCTTCTCCCTATGTTTTGGTTGAACCGCTTGCTGCTCACAGCAACAGACAATCGTTCTTATCATAGATCACACACATGGCAAACGTCGATATTTTCATCACAGTTCCTACCAAGCCATCACCCCTCAGTTGATTTTTTCGTATACTCGGTTGTTAAACCTGTGAATGTATACTTTTTCGTCTTTATGTTTCGTGTGTGCGTGTGTCTATGTGTGAGTCTACGTGTGAGTCTATGGCATTATGCTATTCCAGAAGTGCGATCCGTAGAAACCACCCTTCGTCTTGGGCTTTCAGAAAGCGACCGGTCGAAAAACGGTCAGCGAGCCCTTGCCGGCTTGCGACTCAGAGATGCGGATGAGTAGCAAGCGGGGATCCTTAACTCCGTTCTTGCCACCATAACGGACAGAGAAGGGCATTTGTGGGGCAGCGACTGAAGGCGTAGTCGTTCATTAAAATGAAATATTAACATAATCGTTGTCGGTGCCGTGCCCTGTCGGTCTGGTTCCACTTGCGTTCAGAAGAGCAGGGCTCAATGGACGCTGACGGTAGGGCGTACGGTGAACTGAAGCTGGCCGTAGTCGAAGAGCGATTGAGTTCCTTCACGTGGTTCGTGTGTGTAGAATGGCCCCGCGGCTCTGCCGTGTTCCCATCGGGCTTGGAGTAGCTGAAATGGTCGTAATGCGTTCGCTTTTCGGTTCATGTTGATAGCCTCCGCACTCCCCCTGTCGAGGTGCTCCATACGACAGTTTGTCTGTCTAACAGTCTACCAGTGGTAGCAGCGCAGGTCGGCTCTGCTTGTCCTGTGTTCGACCCCTCCAACAGGAAAACGCTGCGGCCTAAGACTCGCGACCCAAGCGTCGTCCACCCGCGGCAAAAGCCCCTTGCAAAGCCTCAGTTACACTTTTCCTTTTTTATCTGTCTCACAGGCTACCGCAGACGCTTACGACGTTTAATTACGAATGACAGAAGCGACGCTAGTCTCCTTGCTAGCGCCCTGTGGCTTAACATCAACGGTTGTTGGCAATGGTTTTGTACGACTCGCTAGTAATCGAAAAGGATAGGGTGAATGAAGCAGGAACTAACAATATTAACACACACCCGTACCGGTTTACCTCTCCCGCTAGCTCGTCCTCTTCTTTCAGAAATTTTCCGAAGTTTCGGCTTGACAACAGCTGATATTGCTTGACGGATTGTAACGTTGTCGACAGGAAACAACAGACAATTTTTGGTGCAGGTATAGTGGAAGCGCACCATGTATTGCGCCTTACACGCGATATTGTGTCACGCTCCTGTCCCTAGAAGAGGCTCGACACTTAGAGTCCCGCGACCCGCTTTGACCCGCGTTCTGTTTTCCCTGGCAGAGACAACTAACGGTGTAAAATAGAAGAAAAGCTGGGTCGAACAGTATGCACCCGTCGCTCTGGCAACGGCAGCAGTAACGGATAGCAACATTAGCCGTAACAGCAGACATTTGTACAGTCTCAGGTTCAATTACGCTAACGGCGACAATTTCAAGACGTCCTTCACGAGTTACGACAAACTGGTTTACATTCTTGCTTTTCGAAGCGTGCAGTGGCTTGACATACTCTTTTGTTTACTCCACTCGCACGACGGGATAAAATGGGTGGATACGTACGCGACAGCTGCAGTACACTAGCATCAACAAATTGTCCTAGCAAATGTTGGATACTCGCTTTAACGTTCTTCTTTTCTTCACGCCGCTGACAGATCGGTTCATTCGATGTTGGTTGGTCGGTCGGCCGGCGCGTTTTGTTGTTTCATTGTCTGAT